CCGTCCGACCCCCCCCTTCTCCTCCTCCTCCTCCTCCTTGGGGTTTCTTCCAGTCGCGTCCCCGCGGCTTGGGGGGCCCGTGCGCTGCCCCCATGGCAGCGATCTACTCGGGGATCTACCTGAAGCTGAAAAGCGCCAGGACTTCTTGGGAGGACAAGCTCAAACTAGCCCGATTTGCGTGGATTTCTCACCAGTGCGTTCTGCCGAATAAAGAGCAAGTAAGTACTTTTTAATGGTAAACAGCGAAAGGGAAAACAGAAAATATTTCCCAGAAATTAACTGCTGCTGAGGAAGATTTGATGCATAAAGTCCAGATCTGCTTGCTTAAGCTTTTGACCCCAGGTAGCGGCGCAGATACACCTCCGGTGGTGAATTGTGGGTGGCTCTTGATTTCTGCGTGGTTATATAAAATTCTTCCGTAACATCGTCTTCCCAGCAGCAAGATCTGCAGTAGGGCAGGAGGAAAGAGGCTTTCTTACAGTGAGGGTCGCGTGTGCGTTCTGTCTCCCGGATAGCTGAGAAACCATTACCTTCAGAGCTGTCATCAGCATTGCTTGGTATATCCTGCACAGCATGCTCTCAAGCCTGATGCTTCTGGTCGTAGTGAAGAACAAGAACTTCAGGGTGGGAGAACTGACTCTAGCTACACGCATGTTTCCTGGTGATCTAAATAGAGTGCACTCATGGGCATCTCCTTGGAAGATGCTCAGAACCTCCCCCCTCCCCTCAAGTCTTTTGTTTCGATCCTGTTTCCTGAATGTCTGTTCAATGTTTCCCTGAGCGAGTGGTGTCTTGTGCTGCTTCCTCCAGCCTAGCAGTCTTGTGGAGTCTAGTGCTTGCACCGTCTGAGGTCGGTGTGTTGAGTCCCTGTGGTTTCAGTTACTTAGAATATTAAACCTAGCCGTACGCCACCATTTTATTTTGAGATCAATAATTTAAATCAATAGGTTTCAGCCTTTTCTGATTTGCACATGTCTAAATTCCTAGGCCTGAATTTCTAGGTAGTAAAATGAAACATACCAAGAGGAGGATGTGAAAGGAATACCAGTTGTCAGAAAGTGAAAACCATCTGTCCCTTTAAGTTTTGATTTAAAAGACTACGTCTGCTGATCAGTGTTGACTGTCAGAATTATACCCTGATGAAAGTGCCTTAGGATGTTGACTCCTGAAAGCTGTCTTGGGAGGGTACAGGGGAGCA